ATTTCAGCCCCCTAACTCAAAAGAAGTGATTTCTACCCTTAGAATCGAAATCATGAGGATGTAAAAAAATACAAATGTATTATTTTTAAAAGTTTTAATGCAATCGACGAGTATTACTTGGGTATAGCTTTACTTGTGAGATAAATATATGGGCAAATCCACGAAACTTTTAACTTTCAAGAAAAATTTTTTAATTTTTTTTTTAATTTGCAGGCACATTGATATCACTTTGTAAATTCACAAATTCATATGCGTGATTCATTTTTAGCTCACACCGTCAATGTTTAACTCTTTAAACTCTTTAATGTTAATAAATTACATATAAAATTGAAAAATTCAACTTTTTTTATTTTTGATATCGGAGTGTTTTCCAAAGTATTTTCGTCCTCTGAACACGATTCTGGCACCCAAATTTGCTTAGCAGGATCAGGATTTTGAGAAAAGAGGGGGTAAAGACTCGAAAAAGTGTTTTCAACATATTCTTAACTTAATAAAATTTATTTCACTCAAAATTCTTAAGCGGCGTTTTTGTGTTCAAATATATGTATGAAAATGTTTCGATCACACCATAGATTGACCTGTTTAAAGAAAAAATGCAGTTGTGACCTTCAAAAATGTATAAATTTAAATGAAATCACGATTTTCATTATCATCTTTAAATTGTTGCCGCAGGAATACAATTAGAGGCACATCATTGAAGAAGGTCTTAAAATTTTTGTTTTTTCATCACCTTTTAAGAAATGCATTGAACTTTTATTTTTATCCAACGCCGTAATTGATATTTTCATAAGAAGACGCCCAAGAAGCACGTAATATAACCTCAATATCAAGGTAATATTACATGTAAGATTCGTAATATAACGTTGTAATATTACAGTAATCTTACAGTGATCTTAAAATGTCCGCCTCAAGGTAATATTACCGGTAATGTTACTGTAATATTAGGCGCTAATATTAAGGTAATATTACAGTAATATTGCAGTAATATTATACCGTAATATTAAGGTAATATTACAAGAGAATATTACAGTAATATTATGGGAACATTTCTTTACGAAAAAAATCTACCCATCCAGGGAATCGAACCCCGAACTCAAAGCACACGAGTCCAGAGTTTTACCAACAAGCCAAATTGACTTATAATATATTTATGTTTTTTATGCTTTATGAATAACTCAAATCAGTCTGTAATATTACTGTAATATTACCGTTAATATTACAGTAATATTAACGGTAATATTACCTTGAGGCGGACATTTTAAGATCACTGTAAGATTACTGTAATATTACAGCGTTATATTACGAATCTCACGTGTAATATTACCTTCATATTGAGGATATGTTACGTGCTTCTTGGGCGTTCAATTGAATTTTTTTAAAAAGTGCTGTCACTCAATCAAACCTTCGTATTTTTAGTTTTAGTGGTGGCACACTAATGGGATAGTGAACAGTTTTTGACAAAATATGTCTGTTAGATATTTCCATAGTATATAGCTGAAGTGATATTTTACACGCCGCAAAAATAAAAACGTTAAGATTATAAACTTTTTCAAGAAATTCAAATAAAATTTAAGCATTTTTTCACTTTTTAACTTATAAAAGTAATTGTTAAATAAATATTTTGTTCTAATACTGTACATAAATGACCTCCATGAAGTCGGCGTCGAAAATTTTTTTCACGGGACCATGAATATCAAATTATTGTTAAAAAGGTTTTGGGTCCACATAATACCTTGAAAAATATTTCCCAAGGCATTAATTAGACCAAAAATATTTTTTAAAAAATAATTTAACATTTTTGGTCCTGTGAAAAACAAATTTTGGCGGTGAGCGTCGGCGCTAACTTCATGAAGGTCATAAATGTTCCTTTGTATAGAATTTAGCAAAAAAAAAAATTATACCCAAAGTTTTAATTAAAAATAATTCAGATTTTTAAGTGTTCGATTCGAGAATCACAAAAGTTAAAAGTTTCGTGGATTTGCCCATAAAATTTTTCTCTGGTTTCATATGTAAAGACGTATATACATAGTGTATAGACATAGTATACATAAGGCTTATTATATTTTTATGTGATCTCGTTTAATTGTTTCATTTTAATAAATTATTTGTAATATTTATAACGAACAATGTAGGTACATAGGTATGTTGTATAAGTCTATGGCATAACTGTGAATAGCAGATGACCTCGGGTCAACGTTCTTATTTCTTCAGTATATTTAGAAAAAAAATCACCCTTTGTATAGAGTTTTAAAAGAGAATGTTTCGAGATTTTAAATATACCTATACATACACATTTTTTTCTCGTGAAAAACATTTTGAAATTTTTTTTGTTGTATTTTTAATATATTTTTCAATAATTAAAAAATTTTGTTTTTTTATTCTTATTATTGCAATAATCCCTTGACTGTCGACAAGATTTCCACTGTTTGGGTCAAAAGTGTGTTGAAAAAAATTTTAATGGATTTTTATGAAACTTGATATTTTAAAGTTTTCGTATAGTCGCTAATTACGAATCAGTCAGTTTTTAAAAATTTATAATGTCGGATTCAATATGGCGGACAGATTTTTTAAAATTCATCATATTTGCCTGAAAGTCGTTACTCAGGAGTTTTCGGTGACGCTGATTACGAATTTGACTTCAGTTTTTTAAAATTCAAAATGGTGGATCCAATATGGCGGATCGAAATTATTAAAAAAGGTCGGAATTGCCAGAAAATCGTTACTTTAAGGTTTTCAGGGTCGTTCATTTCGAATTTCACATCAGTTTTGCAAAATTTAAAATAACGGATCAATAATTATCATATTGGTTCCGCCATTTTGAATTTTGAAAAAAAACACCTAACGTGTGAAGTGTCTCTTTTTATCCTAGGGAGTAAAATTACCAATTTTAAATTCATTAGTTTCTTATTTCCTAGGAACAATCACTAATATCTATTTTCAGACTGTCTATAACTATAATTTTACTCTCTAGGATAAAAAGAGACACTTTACACCCTAGGTGTTAAAGGGTTACTTTCACATAATTATACAGTATTAATATTTAGTAATTTATTAATAATTGCAATTTACCTTGTTTTTTATTAAAATTAAATAAATTTTTAAATAATAACATTTTGTGTAATATAAATATTGTTCTTTTTTTAAATAATTATTTTTTTATACACACGTATACTCCAAAGTGTTAGAAAAAAATTAATTAACAGTTGTTCAATCTCTTGTTGCACACTAATTATTATTGGATAATGCTCTTGGGTTACGTTAAATTCGCTGGAAAATAAATAGAATTAATTGAAGAATTAACGAACAGTAAAACAAGTTATTTTAAATTAAATTCACATGTTAATTATGTAAATTATGTTAACTACATTCATACATATATAGAAATATAAAATATACAGAATGCTCGAAAAGTTTTAAAGCTTTCTCTAGAAATAAAATTAATTAACTCAGTGTCTACTCAGTTGACTTATTGACAAAAAACGACAATATGGTTGCCTGGTGGTGACTATATGGAAAATAGATTTTATAGCGCTAAAGTGGGAATAACTCATTGTAGATGAGTATTTTTTTTACTATTAAAAATATAATTTTTTTTACTAATGAATTAGTAATATTTAACTTACTCAAAACGAAGCTGAAGTACGCAACGTTTATGATAAACGATTTTTAAAGAAATAATTTTTTAAAATGAAAAATTCTATAATTTTTCGCCTAAAAATTATTTCTTGTAGTTTTCATTAATCAACAAATTATATATAAAAAAAATATTTTTTGGGCGAAAAATTATTTCTTTAAAAATCGTTTATCATAAACGTTGCGTAATTAAGCTTCGTTTACTCAAAAGCAAACAATCAGTTTCTAATTCAAATTTAGTTAAAATTTTTACTAATTCAGATTTAAAGGGTTCGATTGGTATTTGCAAGATTCACAAGTTTAAAATTTAGTTGTTATTTTTGTCATCACCTCTAAAGTAAGGAAAGTTTTTAGGTTATGTCCACCTATTGACATTAATCTATATAATATAGCATAAGTTTTAAGGTTATGTTTGCTCCTTGACCTTTGATTTATGTGATTTTTAACCTTTGAAAATTTTTTAATTCTTGAAATAGCAGCGGCTATATATATTTTGTACAATTTACTATAAATATATATAAAATTCTTTTATCCAATTTTTTTTTTTACATATTATGAAGAAAAATTAAACATATCTACATAATTCTTTTTTAAATGCATTAAGTACATACATTTTTGTAAAATGAAAAAAAAAGATAAGAAATTTATAAATTTTCAACAAAGGTACAATTCCAACTCAGTGAAATGTATTAAATTTAGTTCCCAAAGAAACGAGAATGGGTTTTTCACTTTGTGCGGAACTTTTCAAGAACTTTGTGTCACATTAACAGAAAATCCAAAGGTCTTTCGTCCAACGACATTAAGTACTTCTTCCTCGCCGGACAAAATGAATAAAATAATATAACAACCATTCTAAAAGTAAATTGAAATAATTAATTATATAGTAATAATAATAGTGTAAAAAAAATATAAAATATTAAAACTTAAAATTATCAAAAGATTGAATTGTTAAAAATTCAAATGTCTAAAAATTCTAAACAGTTCAAATTACCAAAAAATCGAATTTTTAAAAGTTCGAATTACCAAAAGAATCGAATTTTCAAAAGTTCGAATTATCAAAAAAAAAAAAATTTCTAAAAGTTCGAATTTTTGTAATCGAATTTCTCAATGTTCAATTTCTTAAAAGATCGAAATTTTTTTACTCGCACATGAGTTTACTTTCTACGTTTTATATAATCATAGTGGATTCTGTTTGCGCGCGAAATTTAAAATCAATATAGAATATTTAAATTTTGCGCGCAAATACAATCCACTGTGGCTGTATAAAACATAGAAAGCTAACTCAAATGAAATAAAATTTTTTAATCTTTGATAATTATATACTAATAAGTAAATAATTTTTATAGAAAATCTTTTGTATTTTCTAGATACTGTGAATCACGCTTCCAAATTCAGATCGTATTGGTAAGTTTTTGAATTTTTTTCTCAATATGCTATTTAAATGTATATAATTGAATTTTGAATGAAAATTAATTTTTAAATTGTTTATTAGAAAAATTATGAAAAAAAAATTGAAGAAAATTTAATTCAAACAATTATATATTCTATAGAACAATAAATGAAATTTCGCGATTATAAAAATTAATTATTCTTATATATAGTAGTTCAATCTTGAAAGTTTCGACAAATATCAAAATTTTAAATGAACTTGCATTTGAAAGGATAAAGTTTTTAAAGGTCAGGAGACATATTGATGGAGAATTTTACGTTTAAAGTTTTAATCCATCTTTTAACTTTGGAAACTAAACTTACATTCTAAATCTTAAGTGTCTCCCCTGAGATTCAGAAATATAGGTTGAATGCTGCTAATGCATTATTATACAAAATAAGTTCCTAATTTCAATAGTTTTCCGAAATTTAGGTTATTTTTTAAATATTATAATAAACATGATGTTCAAGAAGTTCCATAAACAATTTTTTGTGACATACACTTAAAAAAAAAAAATTTCTTTAGATCCAAATTATTTTTCTGGGTATAAAAAATAAATACATTAAGGTATTTAAAACAGTTTTCTTATTCTACAATAACTCCCCCCCCCTCCCCATTTACAAAAATTGATTTTATCCGAAATTATATTTTGGAAATAATAAGAGTTGCTTATACAATTTATTTTTAACGAGCGAGAAAATTAGAAAAATATATTAACTCACACACACACACATGTTTATGAAACTAATAGAAAATCTCTTAAAAACTTAAATATATCTATACACATATTTTCCTTAGAGAAAAACTTTCGAGTGCGATTAAAACTTGATACGAGTATTTTAGATTAAAATTGAGAATTTAAACTTTTCTACTTTAAGAAGAAGTTTATTACATTTAAACTTGTTTATTTTCTTTACTTCTCTTACACGAGCGTTGAAAATTTACACCAGAGGTATACTAAAGAGAGAATCATAAAATTTTCAAAGGGAGTTGTATTTTCATTTCAAACAATTAGTTGATTATTTTGTTTATAATTTCCAATGAAAAATGAGTCAATTCCTGTTTAAAGTAATATAGTCTGCATTATAACAAATTAATTTTGTTTATCAATATATTTATTTCTACCTCAACAATATTTTTCAAAGCCATTCAAAATTACAAAAATTTTAATTTTATTATTATTATTACACAAAAAATACTGTTTTAGACCCGAGCAACAAAAATTTGTTTTTTCAGTACCCGTCAGATTTTTGAGATAATTGCAATTTTAATTTTTTGCTACTTTTTAAAATGGCGGATCCAATATGGCGGAAGAAAAGATTCCAAATCAATCGGATTTGCTTGAAACTTATTACTTAGGGCTTTTTAAGATTGCTGATTACGAATATGAAGTTAGATTTTAAAAATTCAAAATGTCGGATCAAATATGGTGACTGAAAAAATGTTAAATTCATCAAATTCGCTCGGTACTTATTACTTGTGGGTTTTTGGGATCACCGAATCCAAATTTGATGTCAGATTTAAAAATTTCAAAATACCGGATGCAATATGGCGATAAAAAATTTTTAATTTGATCGAATTCTCTCAGAATTTGTTTAAATTTATAATCTGACATTAAATTTAGATTCAGTGATCCCAAAACCTTCGGAGTAATGAGTTTCAAGTGAATTTGTGATGGAATTATAATTTTGTTTTTAGTCACCATATATTGGATTCACTATTTTGAATTTTTTAAATTTGACATTATTTTCGCAATCAGCGACTCCAAAAAACCCTCAAGTAAAACATGGAAAAAAAAGGAATTGCTAACTGATGTTTGCTATGACAACGAAAAAGTTTGCTATGATAAACAATATCAGTCTTAATTTTTAAAAATTTACGGTCACGGCAAATTTTTTTGACCCCACAGCAAATCTGTTCGCTGTCCCTATATTAGCTAACGTAATTTGATGTGACAGTAAATAATTCGCTGCCACAGCAAATTTTTTCTATATGCGTGTATGTGTGGCAAGTAAATTCTATTACATAAAATCTAATAATAGATTCGAATTCAGCGTAAAAAATACGTTAAAAAACGTTCTTACTTTTTTTAGGTCCAAAAGTTGACTCTAATTTATTTTCTTGTGTTATTATCAATTTCCCGTTATTGTTTAACAGTTAAATTTTATTTATAACATAAAGTCCAAACAAAAATTATAATTATTAGATGTCGAAATTCAAAGAAAATGTAGTAATTAACAATTTTGTTAACACAAACAGAAGGTAGTAATGAGTCTTAATTTTCAAGAAGAAGTGTTATCAGTAAGAAATTTGTAAGTCAATGTAGTTGTGTGGTCAGAGTACACGCCTCGCGTCCCAAGGGTCCCAGGTTCGATTCCCCATGCGTGTAAGTTTTTTCAAAATTATTCTTAAGTGTTTAATAATAATAATAATGTTAAATAGAATATAAGTTAAAAATAAAAAATTGTAAAAACTGTCACTTATTTAAAATATAAAAATATGATAATAATAAAAATAATATTTGAAATAATGAAATTAGTAACAAAATTTAATTTATTAAAATGCAAAAGTCATTACAAAAATTGTATTATTTGTTTTATTTTCCCTATATTAAAAGTGGATGAATGTATATAGCTATATATCAAAAGCAGAAAAGCTTTGACGTAAATTCTACGTATACAAACTGACACATAAAAAAATTTAATTTATTAACAATACTTAATGTTTTATTAAAACAAGGACATAAAGTGACTCTGCGCATATTGCATAAAGTACATTGTAAAAACAAAAAAAAAAAACAACTTTTATATATGGAAAAGAGAAAAGTGACAATTTTACTGCAGCAGTGAATTGTATATGTCTATGCAGTGAAATATATGTATTATCGAGGTAATCCATATAATGTAATCACGTAATCCAATCACGTAATGTTTAGAAGTTTCTCTCTCTCTCTCTCTCTCTCTCTCTCGGAGGAAGAGTCAAAATTTTCAGACTAAATATATAGCGCACTATTTCGTTTATAGAATATGATCCCACAAATCAAATTGTCATTATGTTATATATTTATTACCTCTAACTACTTCCCTATGCTATATATAGAAAGTTCTACCATCAAAATGCATTATCAGTAAATGCTTCTTCATTTTCTTTATCTAATTCTTCACATTAGTGTTTCATATTCCGAAGTAATAATAAAATCGATATCGCTATCAAGAAAATGTCAACACTGCGGGGAAAATATATTTTTTATTATAATATAACGAAGGGAGGAAAAATTAAATTTTATCATAAAAATATAATTTTTATAATAATTGATAAATAAATAACTTAATAATAATAGTAATAATATTAAAATAGATATAATTAATTAAAAGTAAATTAATAATTAGGTTCAGTTGGGGTAAATGGGGACAAGAGGTTTTTGGAGCTTAATTTACAGTTTTAAACTTAAGTTCAAAATATTTTAACCTCAGATCACCTGCAAGAGGTTTTGAGTATTGCCAAACTTTTATCTTGACAATTGGCAACAAAATAAAAAAAAATTATCGCTCAATGCATAAAAACTTGAAAATCAAAGTCAAACTGTTTCAGTATTTTGTCGAGCATTTCAAAGAAAACAGACTTAAAAATCATAACAAATTTTTTTCTTATTCCTTATGACTCCTATAAGAGAAATTAACTTGAATTTTTGATTTTTGTCAATTTGGTTAATAATGACATGCTGTCCCCATTTACCCCAAAAATTTTAAAACTCAGGGTAAATGGGGACAGCATGTCATTATTAACCAAATTGACAAAAATCAAAAATTCAAGTTAATTTCTGTTATAGGAGTCATAAGGAATAAGAAAAAAATTTGTTATGATTTTTAAGTCTGTTTTCTTTGAAATGCTCGACAAAATACTGAAACAGTTCAACCATTATATATCTACTACAAATTTTTTTCAAGTTTTTTCATCTCTTAATACAGTAATATACTTAAGGAAACTTTTTTCTTAAAACTTTCTTAGAAACTGTGCTGTGTCCCCATTTACCCCAAATTTTATGAAATTTTCTAAATTTTTGGGGTAAATGGGGACAGTCAGTTTCATGCGTTTAAAGCTTATCTAAATTTTTTTCTGCTGCATAAAATTAATCCTGGGAATGTAAATAACAACTTAAAAAAAATAAACCCGCAAATATTACCTTTTAAAGGAAGAAATTTAGGTCATTTGTGAAAAATAGCGATTTTGTCCCCATTTACCCCAACTGACCCTAATTGAAATAAATAAATTAATTAATAATAACAAAACTATAAATGAAAAAAAAAAATTTATTTCTTTAAAAGTTTAAATTTGAGAAATTTAAAAATAAACATTCAAAAATTTTTTAATACGAAAATTTTCACGCGAAAAAGTGATGGTATTAATTTGATAATAATAATAATAATTGGTATTTGATTATTTGAAATTTAACATTTATTATATATAATTTTACATATTATAAAGACTACTATATTATTACAATGTGATAAATAATACATTATTAAATTGCATGCGGGTGTATTAAATTTATTATCCATTGAATTGACGTTGTAATAATATATTTTTTAAATAGATTTTTTCATTATAAATTTATTGTATGTTATATGGAATTAAAATTTTATCATTTTTTTTTTTAATGATTCAATATTCAATTCAATAATTTCAATTAATTATTCTTTGAAGGAGTGAATTTTTTATGAAAAGAAAAACAATTTTTTTACTATTTTATTTTTAAATTTTATATATATTATGTCATATATATGGGCGAAATCACGTGAGATTTCCGTCGACCCTTTAAATTCGGCAAAATATTTTTTTTTCTTGTTCTGTAGTGAAATAAAGAGATACGTATTTTTTTTTTTTTTTTTTTTTTTGAATAATTTTCGAGTTATGAATTTTCAAAATTTTAGTTTCTTCAATGTAGACCTTTTTTCAATGGCTGATAACTCGAAAAAAATGGATTTTTTCCATTTTTGATAAAAAGAGAAAAGTTTTAGTTTTTCTTTTACTTTTCAATAATGTTAACAAAAAATTTTTTTTTCACTTTTCATTAAAAAAATATCAATTTTTTATAAACAAATTAAGTTTTTTTTAATAAAAAGTTAAAAAAAATTTTTTTGTTAACATTATTGAAAAGTAAAAGAAAAACTAAAACTTTTCTTTTCTTATCAAAAATTGAAAAAATCCATTCTTTTTCGAGTTATCAGCCATTGAAAATAGGTCTACATTGAAGAAACTGAAATTTTGAAAATTCATAATTCGAAAATTTTTCAAAAAAAAGGGTCGACGGAAATCTTACGTGATTTCGCCCATATATATGTATATAAATTTTATCGAATCACATTCAAAGAATTAAATATATAGGTATCATTTTTGAAAAACTAAAAATTATTTACTTTTAGTCTTTTTTTCTCAATAACTAAAAAAAATTTTTTCTTTAACTGCATAAAAATTTGGATTCGAAAATTAACTGATTTTTTTACATTATTTAAATATTAAAATAAACATTATTTTTTGAACTGATATAATGAAATGTAAAATAATTTTCAGTTTATTGAGATAATGATTTATGATTTTTTTATGATTATTATTTGTATTATTATTATTATTATTATTATTATTATTATTATTATTAAAAAAATTTTATTACAATAAATATAAAATTTTTATGTTTTCACCATTTTAGCACATCATTACGGTTTTGGTAAATTTTATTCCTATAAAGCATATATATTTCATTTGCGATATTTATGACAATGAGTATTGTTATATTTAAATATAGGTATACTCCATATAATGAAAATTAAAAAAAAAACTTATCTTATTCAGAGAAAAGTTTTATTTAAAACAAACATTTCTAAACACACTTTTTAGCACAGTTTTTTTATTTAAAATTTATTTGTATATTTGGTTTAGTTTTTTCATTTTATTATTCCATTCATTTAATTTTTTTTCTTTATTTTAATAAATTTTTGTTTTATTAAAAATATATGGAATTAAAAACTATTTAAATTATAACAAAATATTTGATTGAATTAATCAAATTGTTTTCTGTAGTCGATAAATCGTCAAGTTTGACGTAAATAGCTCAATATTAATATAATCAAAATTTTTGTTAAATAAAAGACAAAAAATTTCTTTACTGTCGTTTTATATTTGTATGTTAATATTATTCTTTATACATGAGAAAATAATTTTTTAAAAAACAGTTTTTTTTATTATTATTACAAATTATTACAAATTATTACAAATTATTACAATTTAATTATCAAAATGAAACAACAAAAAATGTTATTTTTGAAAAAATTTGTTTTATTTAACATTTTTTTAACAGGAAAAATCTGTAAGGTCATAAAATAAAATTCAAAAAGCTTTTAATTTAATACCAAATTATAAATAAAAGAGTTGCATTTTATTTTACATGAAAAAAAATCTTTACCTGGAACAGAGATAAGTTTCACTAGAATAGCGATATGTTTCATTAAAACAGCGAAAGTTTTCGCTATTCTAGAGAAATATATCATTGTTCCAGATAAAGATTTTTTGCGTGTAAGATATTTTTATCTCAAAAACTAATTAAAATTTTTTGACTGAAAATCAGAGTTTGGAATCGTAAATTTACTGAAGTAAAAAATAATCTCAAAGATGAATTTTAAAAACCAAAAATGTTATACGCAAAAAGGTCTAGAAAATCTAGATGGTATGCTGAGAGTTCCATTGAACCGTTTAAAGGATTAAGTATAAATATAACAAACGCAGAAAGTCTCTAAATTGTTCTATAATCTTAAAGTGATTAAATTTCTAAATACCTATTTTTAGTCATTTCTCACTAAAACTTGGCAAAGAAAAAAATTATTATAAATTATAAATAGTAAATATTTTACTTAGAATAAGTGTACAAATTACGGTGAGTGCATCAATTACGGCGCGTTCATAACTATTATTACTATTATATTTAGTATAACTATTGCAAAATGATTAAAACAAAATTATTTTAATCTTTTTTTTTATACAATTACTTATGAAGATGCACATTTAAACAATTATTAATTTAATTTTTTGAAATCAAATTTTTTCCCTCACCGTAATTGAAACATTTTTAAGATTTCCATTGGCTTTAATTACGGCGCGCGCAAAGTATCTTCAAAATACACGTAATTTTGGTCACTGAAATTGATACACCGAAACTGATACAAACATGCGTCGTAATAGAACATTACGGTATTAGTTTTAATTTCTCATATTTGTTTAAATAATCGATTTTTATAAAGTTAATTTTTTTTTAATATCTAAATAACATAAGCTTTTAGTATAATAAGTCTTCAATTTACTTTATACAATAGAAATGACGAATTTTCTGTTTCAAAGACGTATTTTAACTTGAATCGCGCCGTAATTAGTACATTTACCCTACTATCTTATTTACTATTTTATTTTTATTAAATATTAGCAAGAATTCTAAAATTCTTAATAATTTGAATTATATAGTGGAAAACTTTTCATCTTTAATATATTAAGAATTAGAGAGAATACTCCATATTGTTGCTATGCATAATATTATTTGTTATTATATATATATATATATATATATATTATATAATACAACGTAAAAAAAATTTTTTAAATTATAGAATTTTGTCTATTTTAAAAATAACAAAACGCATTCTCTTCTAACATAAAGAAAATGTAAAACCAAAGAAAGATATTTCTAAATGAAAGAAGATCGAGGTTAATTGAAGATAATCTAATTAGAATGTATAAAACTCACTGATTTTAAAGCACCGAGAATTTATGGTTCATCGAGAACCAGTCTTGTTTTTAATAGTAATAATAATAATAATATTAATAATAAATATAAAAAATAACAATAATAATAATAATAATAATAATAATAGTAATAATAATAGAAATAATAATAACAAACGTTAAAAAAAAATCTAGTTTTCAAAATCATTTACGGATCGTACAAATCAGAAAAACGTCACAATAATATTAATAGAAAAAATAATAATAAACGTTTAAACAAAAAAACATCGAGTTTTTTAAATCACTTAAAGACCCTAAAAACCACAAGAACGTCACAATAATAGTAAATAATAAATAATAAAAAATAATAAAAATAATGGAGTATTAAGAGTAAAAATATTAATAATAATATTAATAAAAATAATAATAATATAGAATTAATATAAATATAAATACTAATAATAATATCAGTTGAAAATAATAAAGTTTATCTGATATTATTCATACCTGAGGGGATTTATCAGCTGGCCCACTGATGATGCGGAAGGGGAGATCCTTTTATAAAAAAAATACATATATTGAAAGAAAATAGATCAACTAGAAGATGAATTGGATATTATGTCCCGAGACATAATAACGAAGATGTATAGTAATGGAATCCGGGAATTGATTTGCTCCAATGAGAATAACACGCGCGTTTCACTTGAAATTCAAATGTCGTGTAAATAACAGCAATTGACGGAAATGACGACAACAATAATGATAATGATGACATGTTCACAAAAAGAAAAAAAAAAAGAAAAAAATTTATATATACATATACATATAGGGGCAGAAAAAAAATTTGCTTTTAATTGTGAGGTTAGGCCATCATCACTGGTTGTGTTACTAACACGCGAGGCATGATATACTGGTGGTGCATGTACGCATATGGACGTAGTATATGGAAGATGAGGACGACAACTTCCATGGCACAGAACCTTCCGCGCAACTTCGCGGAAAATCGGAAGTGGAGGACCTTCTTTGCAGCTGCGCAACGCTATTTGAACTCGCAGCTTATATATATATATATATATATGTATATACGTATATATATGTAGTCAGATATAGGTATACAGGTTCATTTATATCGTTTCCTCGTGTGTATTATGCTTTTTGTTTAGCGGAAAAGGATGATAATAAAAGCAACAAAGAATGAGCATAAGGGGTTAAAGGGAAATGAGGGGTAAAGAGGAGAGAAGAATGAAACAGAAGAAAATAATGTGCCACACGAGGCCTGATTATTAATCATCTTTTCAAATTATACGCCCTTACTGTGCATTTATTCCCTCACTCTCTCACTGTATAGATGTGTATATATATATCTATATATTATGTATATAGACTGTATATCTATAGAATCTGAACCATTTACTATTCTGCACCAGGATATGCAATAATGATTTTGCATTTTGTTGTATATGTATATAGGTACAAAACGAGCTTTATTGAGACTTGTATAAATTATTGACATGTGACAAATGATATAATTACAGAAACAATGTATGTCAGATGATGATATGTTTCTCGCAAACTGGGTATTTGTAATTGTAAAACTCTCTCTAAATTGGAATTGGTTACTCTTTTTGACTAATGCGGCGATTCGTTTATTTAATGAATTAGTTAACGTTTTAACTAATTTTTGGTAAAGGAAACTTCACGAAAGTGGAATTTTCATTTCGTTTAGATATTTGTAATTGTAAGTAAACGAAAATTGAATGTACTTTTGATTCCGTTTGGTTAACGATAGGGAAATCCGTCAGATTTCTTTTCATAGTAAAAAAATTCATATTTTTTTAATCGGAGAACCGAAAGTAATAATATAACGGATTTTCGTTTCGTTCGCCAAACGGAATCAAAAGTAGATTCTACTTTCGTTTCGTTCAACAAAACTGAATCAAAAGTTAATTGATTTTTGATTCTGATTTTGGAATAAAAACTTAAACTTTTGATTCGAATACCTGAATCAAAACTAAACAATGTTATAATGATCTTCGAAAAATTAATGTTTCGAAACTGGACTGATTGAGATCAAAAGCAAAACACAAGTGTTTTTGAATTTTGTTTGGATTTCGTGAAGATCCTTGAGAAAAGTGATTAATTCAGGGGCTGGATTCCATAAGGTGTTATACGAGTTCGCGGAGGTCTCCTCGCGCAGCCGTAGACTCGCTGTAAGCGGTGGCCGTAACACGTAATTGAATCCAGCCCCTCAATTGTTAGTAGAAAATTACTAATTCACTTATTAAAGTTTACTAATATTACTACGTAGTAGTATCACTTTCTGTCGATGGATGTCCACTACCAAAAATCAGGTATATTCTTGATAAACCTTGTCGTGGTGGCGGCGCTTTTCACTAAAGGTACGACAGCATCCAATGGTCCAAGGAGAACGCACCACGTGGGCGCTCAGTTTTTATCGGTTCTACAGATCATTGTGGAAAGAGATATAGCGTTTCGAGCCTTTCTAGTGTCAGCAGTGAAAGAAGTTTGATACCACATTGAAAAAAATTTCTTACTCTTATAATATGAATAGTATTCTTGCGATTGTAGTATGACTGTCCTGTTAATAGAAACGCTGAAAATCATGCTATAATAGTTTCGAATGTTCCACAACTACAAATGGTAGCTGCGCCTCCTCTATTAGAAATAGGTTCATAGCCTAATTGTACGAATGTCTTGTGATTATAGTGTCATACCCTGACGTGGTACATTTGCTTCTGGAACATACTTCTATAGTGCCAGGAGCAATTGTTTCTTATACAGGAGATGCAGCTAACTTTTATAGCTTGGAAATATTTGGAACTATATTAGTATGACAGGGTGAGCAATTAGTATAAAGTTCATGCTCTTACATCCACACTAGCGTTTTACTACATTAGTATGTTCTTTGCATATATGCAACAATGGTGACAAATTTTTCTTAGTGGATCTATCTAGCAAACCTATACAATCCCAGTCAAAAAAGTTCTATAGAATTTCTACATGAATTCTAGTAAACTCTAATTTTTAAATAAAAAGGGACATAAATTCTATAGCTGACTGTTATAAATTATGTTAAACAATTTTATTTTTCTTTAAGGTTAATGTTTTTTTCATAAGATTCTGAAACTTTTTTTGGTTATTACAGATTTTATATTTCTAATCAAAATTCATTGAAAATGGTTTTAAAAATATTAAATTGCAACCACAAATTTTGCTGTTTCTATAAAATTAACCATTTCCAACTTACAGCCATTTGAAAATGACGATGGGTAGCATCTACCCAGTATGAGACCTCCGCTTTTGAAAAAAAGTTGTGACATTGAGGGGTAATTAAAAAAGTTCCTTGGAAAAATTGTTTAAAAAGACACTTGGATATATGTATGATTATACGCATTAATCTTTAAGAAGAATAAAATTGTTCAACATAATTACTGCGATATTAGCCAGAAAATTCATGTCTTTTTTATTTAAGAATTAGATTTTACTACACTAAGAAAAATATGCTATTGAATCAATAGAATTTCTGCCAAAGGTATAAAAATTATTGATTCTAAAGCATATGCTATAAAATCTGTAAAATATTTTATAAATTTTATAGCATATGCTTTTCAATCAATAATTTTAATAACTTTGGCAGAAATGCTGTTGATTTAATAGCATATTTTTCTCAGTGTAGAATTTATATGTGACGTTCCATGAGGAAAGGGACCTTAGCTGCAAAAAAATGAAAATTGAGTTTTTGATATCAGTCGATAGATCTTGAGTTGCTCTTTCAGATACAAAAGTTAAAAATTGTACTTTTCTATTTAGTTTTTTTGTTATAAAGCATTAATCATGACCATGTTAATCGAGTTCCAGCACGGACTACAGAAACCATCCCCACCACTACTACTACTAGTATACTTGTCGTAAGCGTGAGCTGTAGGAACGATGTAGTAGTAAGGTGGTGGGGCTGATTTTCGATGGAGGGTCTCAACCAATCAGGGACGCTCTACTTTAAATACCTTTTCTGGAAAATGCGTCTATTGCAGCTAAGGTCCCTTTCCTCATGGAACGTCACATATAGAAATTCTATAGAACCGTTCTAGTGAACGGAATATTCTAGAATATTCACTAGAATTTATGTAGAGTGATTCTATAGAATCATTCTAGTGAAATTCTATAGAACTTTTTTGACTGGGATGAGACGATTGAGAAAGAACGCGAGAATTGCGTGAAGCTTAGGTAGGAGGAGGCTGAATCGAAGAAGAGATTGAAAAGATAGTAAAGTTTTGTGAAATTCAAAAAAACGTCAATAGAACTGTTGAGGACGAATTAAAGACTCCGCAGGATCGTGTCAGTGAGGCAAAGGCAAAACATGCTCTGGCTGATAACGGAGACCGGAACAGGAAAAGAGAGCGTTGCCATGAGGAGCAGCTTCATCGCGCAAAAACGGAGAAGAAGTTCTGGCATCTCTATTGAAGGAGACTGCGAAGGTGACGGAAGCAACGTATCCAAAGCAAACAAGGAAAAAGCCGACGAGTGAATATACAATGGTGATCCGAGTTACAACTGGAAAGACGCATGCCGACATAACAAGCAAACTTCATAAGGAAGTAAATCCGGACGTCAGCCACAATAATCACCAAAATAGTTGGAAGCATGAAAAAGGAGATCCGCGATCTGGATTGCCTTACCTATCGTAAAGAAGTACAACAAAGGTTGAAAGAAGTGCTCTGTCGCCCCAATAAGAATAACCGTGTCTACATTTTGGACAAGTCACTTAATGGTGGCAGTGGCAAGTAGGTAACTTATCCGAAATGCAGATACGGTTATTCTTGTTGGGGAGGCAGAGCTCGAAAAGCCAGAAAGCAGGAAGGTGACTGGTCCTAGAACCCAACAAGCGAGGGATGAAGTTCACACAGTTGTAGTCGCCAATCAAAAAGAGGCGGGCAGGAAAAGCTTGTAAGGCAAAAGACAGATCAGATGCGTGTTTTAGAGCGGTAAAGCTGATCACAAATTCGCAGACTGATGCAAAAGAAGCCTAAGCTGCTTCTTATTAGAAGTACAATGATAAGGTGAATAACAACCATATCGTCGGTACAGAAGTTTATAGAGTCTTGCGATCAGCCCTCAAGAAAGGGAAGAAGATGTTTGCAAGAACAAGAAATAAATAGTCCAGAAAGATCGGCAATGTAAAAATCGCGAAATCGAAATAGGGATCTTCACCTAAAAACCTGACGGCAGTTCCGTAGTTTGAGAATTAGTCCAGCCAAAGGGTGTGGTTTTTACTATGAATCAGAATTAGTCGATTAATAAATTCTAATGAGGAAACCGGTACCGACTTATTCGAAACATCAAAAAACGTATATACATTTTTCAACCCCAAATTTCTATTTATTAAAATAATAATTGACTTTTCCTTTTTACTTTTTAACTATGCAACTTGATATGCCATAGAATTTATGGTACCAGGCTATAAAATCTATAATTATGGACTGTAAACCATAAATATTGTATTGATTTTGAAATTTGATACGCGTCTAATTATTTCTCTTATATAATGAACATTTTTTTTTAGCTGTATTTACTTGTTTTTTTTAGAAATATAATATAAGAATTGTATTTGCGTATACAATAAAAAAACGATATAGATTTCGTTCGTTTTTCATGCGTATAAAGTATATATATATCTATGGCTTGTACTTTTCAAATTCTTTTGATCTATCCTTCTGGATATATTGGTAGTAGCAATGCTCGCCAAAAGCAGCATTGCTTTTATATCCTTTTCTTTTGTGTTTCTTATTCTTTGTATGTGTATGTATGTATGTATATATGTATATAAGAATTGTTGGCAAAGTTTGACGATTTCTTGGAATATTTATGTATGAAACCTATTAGAACACGACATACTTTGGAATTCTATGTATATATTTTTTTATTAATGCGGTGCTATATATATATATAGGATA